TTACAGTTGTCCCATTTTCTCCCCTTCACCCCCCTCCACTGAGCCCGTCCTCTGACCTGATATAATATCCTGATCCAACCTAGGCAGCTTCCACATGTGTTCATGAGCTTAGCTCTTTTAATTCAGAGTATTTTGTTGCACCATAGGTTCATTTCTTTCCCTCCATCCTACCTTGGACTTTGAACCTGGCTCTTCTCGATACTTTACATTTACTCTCTGATTTAATTTCATTGATAATACTTCATGATTTTAATAAGTAGTGTTTCAGAAGTAGATAGAGCAAAATGTGATTCAAGGTTAGGATGTATGTCAAACAGTCTTAACTTTTATGACCAATCAATTATATGTTGCTTACTGAATTTTTCCCTAAGTTCTGTTGTACCAGTTCACATTTCTTTGCTACCTTAAGTATGGGGGAGGGGAGCGATTTGAGGCAACAGTAGATAATCGCAGGTCATTAGAGAGAGTGGCCTTTGCATGGGCCTGTGTAACTCAAGATGTTGAGTAGGGAACACACTTGTCCTCCTATATAAGCATAGTTTACAATATTAGATTTATCAGTAATAACAGAATTTTTAAAAATTTTTGTTTATTGATTTGAGAGAGAGAAATATCGATTTTCTTATTCCTCTTATTTATGCATTCCTCTTAATTATGCCAGTTCAATCCCTAGTCAGAAACATGCCTGCGTTGTGGGTTTGATCCTTGGTCGGGGCACATACAAGAGGCAACCAATCGATGTTTCTCTCTCACATGGATGTTTCCCTCTTTTCTTCCTCCCTCACCTTTCTCTAAAAATAAATAAATAAAATCTTTTACAAAAGAATCTGCTTCCCTATGACTTTGAGATCTGCCCTCATCCATGTGATAGGCCACCTAGGATTTGAGACAGCTGTTGTGTGCCCCCCTAAATTATCCTTTCCAAATTAATTGCCATTAGCTAGTCCTCATAAGAGGAATAGCTTTTCCTTTCTCATCTTGGTCTCCCTCTTCTAGATAAAGACAAATTTGTTGTTGCCCTTACCTGAATACAGAATTCAGATGTAATCTGGCTAGCACGTCCCAAGTTAGGTCTGCCTTTTTAGCTGAGCTTTTTTGGGAAACCAGGTCACCTAGTTGTGCACATACAGCTTGTTCTTTTGTATTTTTTTCTTACTTTCTAGATGAAAAATAAATGGATAGCTGTTAAACACAGCAAATTGAACACATTTTAACACCCATTTCTTCCTCTAAGTCCATTGAAGTGGTAGTAAGAGGGAGAAAAGATACCAACAAATAAGCCATCCATTGACTCCTGAAGGCAAAAAGCATGTGTGATGGGCGCAGTGGGCAGAGGAACTGAAAGTTTTTGTGGGGGGCGGGGGTGGGGGCACTAAGAAGAAACGGAATTTGTAATGCAGAGGCCTGGAATGGCTCCAGAATTGAAGACCAAATGCTGAAAACAGGAAGATTAGTTAAAAGTTTGTGTGAAAAGCAATTAGATCTCTACAGTCCCTCCCCTACTCTCTCAGGAGACAGGAGTTCTTAGTTATTGAACTGAAAGCACACAAAACATAGAAGGGATAGAATATGGAGCAGAGGTGAGAATAAGCCTTTAATACAAAGTTCTAAATGGTAGGACCATTTCCCTCTCTCACCCAGTTTCCAGAATATCTGCATGCAGTCACTTCCTTGCAAGAGATTGAAAGATCCTTTTGATACAATTAGTCCCAGAGAGAACATTCTAGAGATACCAACTGCTTCTAGGAATCCTCAATAAAAATGGCAGATTCTTGCCCGATCACCCTGACGCAAAGTCCACAAGTTGACAAGCCTACTCCTCACACACAGAGCTTTCAAACAGCTTCTAAAAGTATGAGCAGATAACTAAACATTACAAGACATTTAAAGAAAGCCTCTAAGTGGAAAGCAGAAGCCAAAACAAATGGAGGAGAAAAGAGCTGTGAAGAAACAGTAAAAGCAAGGAGGAGGGGGAGAAAATTTAACTATAATATCTTGAGAGATTAGAGAAAATAACTGCATTCGTGAAATATGAACAAGATATTTTTAAAGATTTTATTTATTTAATTTTAGAGAGAGAGGAAGGGAGGGAGAAAAGGAGAGAAACATCAATGTGAGAGAGACACTTAGGGGAACTGTGTCCGTAACCCAGGCGTGTGCCCCAGCCGGGTCACCCAGCCAACTGAGCCACACCCGTCAGAGCTGAACAAGATTTTTTAAATAAAAGGGAACCTTCAGAAAATAAGAAAGACCTCTTAGAAATTAAAAATATGATAGCCAGTATAAAAAGCTACAACACAGGAATATTGGAAGATAAACTTGAAGAACAGTCCCAGAACATAGACCAAACGAAAAAGAAAAATAGGGAAGAACTAATTAAAAAAAAATTAGAGGATCATCCCAAGAGGTCTAACACCTGACTAATGGAAATTTAGGAATAGAAAAAATAGACAGTAGAGAAGAAGAAATTATCGAAGAAATGGTATGAAAAAGTATTTCCACAACTAAAATGTTTATAGATTGATGTAGTACAGTAAATAGAGGGAAACCAATACCAAGGCACAGCCCTTGTGAGATTTCAAATCTCTATGAATAGTGAGAAAGTCCTAAAATCTTGTAGAAACAACAGTCACATATTTAGTACTCAAAAGAACATTATATTTCTCAAGAGCAATAAGATGACAGGGGAACAATACCCTCAAAATAAATAAAAAATATTTATTCCCAACTTATAATTTTATAGACAGCTAAACTATCACCCGAGTTTAAGGATAATAAAGACATTTGCAGACATTGTGCATATGCCCTGTGACATTGTAATATGGTGAGAAATAGATATTTCGTTTTTGTCGCTGGTTACTGGCACAGAGCTCCTGAAACTCTTGTAATTTCCTGAGTGGCAGGGATAATAAGAGTATCTTCTGTTATAATATTTGGTCTTTGCTCCTAGTTCCTGGCACAAGAACTTCTAAAACCCTTGGAGTTTTCTGAGTGATAGGGGTGAGAGGAGTAATCAGCTGTGTCTGAGCTTATGTTAATGAGGTAACTGAGGGCACCTAGATAGCTTCAGGGTGGGTAGGGGCTGCTCGCTAGAGAAACCAACCATGTGATCAGAGGGTGGACACTTCCCGCCCACCTCCTCTGCCTCTTGGGGACAGGAGGGGGCTGGAGATTGAGCTAATCACCAGTGACCAGAGATTTAATCAGTTCTGCCTATGTAATGGAACCTCCATAAGCCTTCTAAACAGCGGGGTTCAGAGGTTTTCCAGGTTGAACATAGCCGCTTGGGAGGAGAGTGGCAAACCCCAGTCCTGCAGGGATAGAAGCTCCTGTGCTCAGGACCATTCTAGACCTTGCCCTATACACCTCTTCATCTGGTTGTTCCTTTGTATCCTTTATAATAAGCCAATAATAATAAGTAAACTGTTTTCCCTGAGTTCTGTGAACCACTCTAGCACAAGATTAAACCTGAGGACTGGGTTTTGGGCAACCCCCCCACCAGCCTTACAGCTGATCGGTCAGAAGTATGAGTGGCCCAGACTTGCAGTTAGCATCTGAAGCAGGGCTTTCTTGTGGGACAGAGCCCTTACCCTTGCATGTGGCACATCCTCCTCAATGTTGTATTCTGTCAGTCACACTGACCGACCCCGAGACATTGTGGGAGGGGGCGGCACAAGGATGTGAATACCAGGAGGCAGGGACCAATGGCGGCTCCTTGGAGACAGCCCACCACGCGTAATAACTAAAGGTGAAAATTCAGGAAGTCATGTTATAGGCATATCACTTAGGCAGGTAGAAGTAAATACCAGAAGAAAGAGGTTGCCCCTGGGAGCAGGAAACGGAACCAGAAACTGCTGGTTTTCATTCTAAGCCTTGTGGAACAACTTTAAGAAATACTTGTATGTGTTACTCTGATTTTTTTTTTTTTTTAATTATGAAAAACCCCCAAAGCACGCAGTCATTTAATGTCCCCAACACCAGCAGTAGAGGAGCACAGGGCTTATGGATTATTTGCGATACTCATATTCTCTGACTCGAATAAGGAGCCTTTGGTATTTGGAAGATCGTGTGTGTGACCTTGAGAGGAGCATCAGGTAGTGTGACGGTGGAATTTGGTAAAGGAGGGGAAGAAGCCTGTTATACTCTTTCTGAAGAGTAGACAGTTCTTCAGTGGAAATGTTTATGCAGCTTGGAGCTATAAACGGCAAAGCAAAGCTTATAAAGGGAATATCCTTTTGACAGATAGTTGGAAAGTGCATTATAGAGCTCCCTAGGCTAACGATGCATCGGTAAGGGTTTGACACAAATTGGAGACACAAATTGCCTCTGTCCCTGTGAGAGCCGTGGGCCTGAGCGCTGTGGGCCACGCAGAGCGCCAGCCAGGCCTCAGCGCCAGCCTCCAGCTGGGTGCTGCCAGGGTCATTTTCCTAAGAGGAGCTCTGGGCTCCTTGGGGTCTGCCACAGCCTGGTTGGTGCCCAAGTATCCCCCAGCTTTTGTGCCCACTGTGCTTGCTTTGCGCTTGATCCCCACAAATGCCCCCTATTCAAGTTTGGTCTGGTTTCTCATCTTTTCCGGTCACTATGTATTTACTCTTCTTGAGGAACCCACTGTTAGGGGCCTCAAGGATCTTGGCCAGTTCATCTGTTTCATCGGCCTTCTAATAAAACTGGGACCAGAATTAAGTGTTAAAGAAATCAGGCCCTGGAGCTGGTGGGGGAGTCGGGATGGGCGCCGTGAAGACTGCCATATAAGTAAAGACTACCGCTCAACATTCAGGCTTACATTTTTTAACCATTTTAAAATGTGTTGTTTACATTCTACTATAACTGAGCACACTAAATCAAAAATACTCAAGGGGCTTCATGATAAGCCGCAGCTGTCACATAGTGGGATGTGTTGGCACCATTACAGCGGGGGACGGGTTACGCTGTGGAAGGGGCAGGTTGGACCTTTATATTTCTGTTTCTGAGTATCTCTTTGTATTTTACTTTGCCCGCAGATTGGCGACCACAAATTCAGTGCTCACCGGATCGTCTTAGCAGCCTCCATCCCATACTTCCACGCGATGTTTACAAACGACATGATGGAGTGCAAGCAGGACGAGATTGTGATGCAAGGCATGGACCCAAGGTACCACACTCCTCCATTAGGCTTCCCAGGCTGCTTCCGGCCCACTGCCTGCCTTGTGCCAGATGCCACCTGGGGGCCTGCGTCAGGACCCAGTGTCTGTAGCACAGCTTCCTGCACACAGTGATTAATACAAGTTAGAACCTCAGCTGGGGGCCTGAGTCAGGGTTAAAAGGAGGAAAGTTTTGATGTTGTTTTACTCTATTAGAGTGCACATTTAGTCAGAACCAAGGTCCCAAATATGATTTTTAGCTACGACAGGTACAAAGGTGATGGTATATAAACCTCTGCACTTTTCTGTGCTAGGCATTTTAGCTGGCAAAATCTTTTCACTTTCTTTTTTTTAATCCTCACCTGGGAATGTGTTTACTGATTTGAAAGAGAGAGAGAGAGAGAAACATCAATCAGTTGTTTCCTGTATGCACCCCAACCAGGGATCAAACCCACAACCTAGGTATGTGCCCTGACCAGGAATCGAACCCACAACTTTTGGGTGCATGGGACAGTACTTCAACCAACTGAGCCACTCAGCCAGGGCAAAATCTTTTTTCAGATAAGTCTCTTATCAGTATAGAGCAGTATTGTCCATTAGAATGTCCTGCAGTGATGGAAATGTTCTATTTGTATTCTCCAGAGTGGTAGCCACTACTCACATGTAGCTATGAGCACTTGAAATGTGACTAGTGGAATTGAGGAACCAAATTCTAAGTTATATTTATCAGGCTCGAAGATTATCCCATCTAAACATCTTTTATCAAAGACAGCCCTCCGTAACAAAGAGTAGTGCTGGCCTCAAATACTGATAATGCCAAGGTGGGTGGCGGGGTGGGGGTGGATTTCTTTCCTGAAGTAATTTTTGGGGCAGGAGGCATTACCATAACCCCTGCAATCACATCATTTAGGCACTTATTTGAAGTTGCCCTTACATCTAGAGTCACTTAGTACTAGACACTCTTCATGAAAATACCTTCCTGATTTCTGTCTAAAGACTTTGTAGAAACATGTTCCATAGTATGCCTTTTTGGGCCTTGAGAGGAAAAAGGCATATTTATGTCACCTAAAAGATTTTGCTGCAAATCTGTGAACTAAGCTCTATGTTTATAATATAGGCTGTATCCAGGAGTTCCCTGCTCCCCTGCTAAGTGCCTGGCATTAGTTCTGGGGTCTGGGAATGCAGCAGCAAGCATGACACAAGGTGGCACAGGGCAATGACATTCTCGTCAGCAGAGAGGCAGTAAACAAACCAGTGATTCTGAAACACTCGTTAGTAATATCTCTCATTTGTTGCCTAATCTCATAGCAGTGAAAACTCAGGGGAATGGAGGACGTAAACAGGCGTCCTCGGGGTAGTTAAAAGTGGCCGGCCCTGGCGCGTGGGGAGCGTGTGGAACCCACTGCGCGCAGCAGTCTCAGGCCAGGTGGGCGTAAGGAGAGGCACAGGAGGGGGTCCCAAGGGCCGTTGCACGCTATTTCCTCCGAGGTCTGTGTCTGAAGGAGCCGGGCTTGTCACCATGCACAGCCCGGGGCCTCCTTTAACAGAGGCAGATGGAGCCCCTGCGACGTGTGCCGAGGTTGGCACTGGGGCATTAAACAGAAAGCACCTCTGTTGTGCCAACTTTCTAGCAGTGGGGACCTGGCAGTAAACAGATATACACATGATATGTCTGGGAAGTAGAAATGATGTCCGAAAAGTCAAGCAGAGTAAAGGCTAGCGAATGATGGTGGGGGTCCGCGCTCTTTCAGGGTGATCGGGGAGGCCTCTCTGATGAGGTGACTTTTGAGCCGAGACCTTAATTGAAGTGAGGGAGTGAGCCATCTGGGGGAAGAGTCCAAACAGAGGGAGCAGCCAGTGCAAAGGGCCCGAGGTGAGCGTGTGTTCAGCATGTTGAGCTGGAGTGCGGGCCACAGAGTAGAAGCTGATAAGGTCAGGGAGATGGAGAGGAGCCAGACCACATACAGCCCCGTGGGCGGGATTTGGATTTCATTCTCTCTGAACCGAAGGGGGGAAGAAAATGTTGGAAGTCTCATTCTGGAAATTTATCCCAAAGAAATGGTAACCTAAAACCAATATTTATAATGGCAATACGAACATAATCGCTATTATGCCTAGCAAGAAAGGAACTAAATTTTAGCATATTTACATGTTGAAATACTATACAGCAGCCATTAAAAACAGGAAACATGAAGGCAGTGTGGCAGCGTGGTAAAGGGCCTCATCCTCATAAGTATTATATATAGTTATACAATTTATGCCTGGAGGCAAGTAGGGACTGAAAATGAACCCAGAAAAATGACCACCATTGACCTGTTCAGTAGTGATAGTGTGGGTAGTTGCTTTTTCTTTTTAGAATTTTTCCGTTACAAAATTATTTGGGCAATAAAGACAAGAAGCAGAATGAGTCTGGCTGTGGTGAAGTAATTGATCCATTCAGCTAGGTTCGGAAAGGACATGGGGTTTGACACAGATTTTAGACTGGGGCCCATCCATTCCCCAGGTTGTACTGTCTGCTCACTGGGGGCCCAAGTCTCCTGTGGGCCAACACCCATCTCTAAGGAGCGTCTTGCCTCTTCCATCCAGCGCCCTGGAGGCTCTGATCAACTTTGCCTACAACGGCCACCTTGCCATCGACCAGCAAAATGTCCAGTCATTGCTGATGGGGGCGAGTTTCCTGCAGCTGCAGAGCATCAAAGACGCCTGCTGCACGTTCCTCCGAGAACGGTGAGGGGCTGCGGTGGGCCGACCTGCAATGGGGAGCGCGGCCGTTTCGCTTCTGGAACCCCTGCCGGTAGCCAAGTTCTTGGGGCACGCAGAGTTTCATGAAAGGACTGAGCTGGGAAGGTCCTCTGCAGAAATGACCTTTCTTGAAATCAGTATCAGGCAGGTTCTTCGGGTTGAATCTTTGAGCAACGTGATTTAGGAAGCCCTGCCTGCCCTCTCCCTTGGCTGCCTTGGCGTCTTCTGGTCCTCCCTCCAGTCCGATCCGCTGCTAACTTAGCTGACTGTTCTCACCGAGCTGGTTTATTCAGTGCTGCCTAACTGTTCCATGGACATCCCTTCTTTGTTTAGATCCTTCCCCCACTTGAATTTCTTGACCTTTGTTTTCCTTTCAACTTTTTAAAAGCCCACCCAAATTGCACCTCCTGGCATTCTCTGTCCCCTTGAGTCCCCTGGGAGCAGTCACTGTGTGCTTTTTTAGGGTAAAGGCCATGGGTTTACCCCTATCTATGTCTAGCACTTGACAATGAACTTCTGATGACTGAGCAGATACGAAGGCTCTTCCTCCCCTTCAAGAGGCAGGCAGAGCTCTTAGTCTAAGGGAAGAGATGCCTTTTAACCACTAGAGGCTGGGACGGGAGGATTAGTACTGGGCTGCACACGGGCGGGGAGAAACCAGAGCAGCGAGCGCACTGGTGCCTGGTGCCCTCCCAAGTACTCTGACCACCCCGGGCCTGAAGACCAGCGTTCCTCTCGCCTCAGGCCTGCCCTTCTGAACCTCATCCCCACTTAGAGCTGACATCTCCTGCTCCCCGCTGCACCTCCCCCCCCGCCCCCACTCCCGCAGTTCACTTAGCAGCTCTGCCTGCTATCCCCATCCTGCCCGGACGCTGCTCACGGACATCCCTGAGCACTGCTGCATGTGCAGCCAGTCTTAGCGACTGTGGGAACGATGCCGAACATGCAGGGGGTGCTCCCCTGGGTGCGGGGTGAGTGGTTTCATCATGAGGTAGGTGGTCCTGTTCCAGATTTTGCAGATGAAGACGCTGTAGACCCAGAGCCTGGCTTGACCTGACCCTGGGATGCCTTCTGGTACAGGCTGGAAGGATGCATCGAGGGGTGTGGGGCATATGCTGCCTTTCCTACTCATTTATAAACTTCTTAGGGACACAGACTGGACTTGGTCCATCTCTATGTTCCCAAGAATTTGGGGAATGATGGAGCAGGCATTCTGGAAAGGATTAAGTTGGCCACTCTCACAGGGGACAATGGCTCCACCTAGGGGCTGTGGAGGTCATCACTGTCAACAGTGGATCCAGGCTCTGTTACAAAGTAGCGTCACCTAAAAGATGGCTTAGAAAAGGATTTTTAGACCAGTGCAGTTTTCTCAAGCCCCGGTGATACACCTTTCTTAGATTCTCTGAGCCTTAGTCTTCCATCTAAAAATGAGAGCAATTACTACTTTGCAGGGTTGTTAAAGAGATTCTGGAGAGTGTGTATAAAAGGCCTGGCAAAGAACTCGACCCACGGATGGTGCAAAATAAGGGATAGCTGCCTGCATGTTCTTTTTGGACATCTAAACAATTAGACCCATGGATCCTCTTTCTGTGTAAAAACAGAGAACAGTGGAAGGGTCCCAATGTTAAAGAAGTCACCGCTCCTCCGGAAATGAGCTCTCATTCTACAACTGCACTGCCTCCCTGGTGACCAGAGGTGGACACTCGGCCAAGAATATCAGCAGCCAAGGGACAGCAAACAGGCTTCTCAGTGCCTGTTCTTTTCTTCCCCTCTTCTGAGAGCTGCCCCACAGGGCTTCCCAGAGAGCACGTTCCACCTAAACACACAGACACCAGCCCACGGGGCAGAACCTTTTAGGATAGTCCGTCTTAATGTAAAAAATACCTTTGCAGGCTGAGTCCGAAAGACACGCCTGATGTTACACCAGGAGTTTCTCCAAAGTTGAGGACAAAGTTTGTGGGGGTTTTTGTTGTTATTCTGTGGCTCTACCTAGAGCCAACCTGAGAATGGTTTGAAGGTAACCTTTTTTCTTCCTGTAAATTCTTTTCATTTTTTTTCTGATATAAAAGGCTTCACCCAAAAAATTGCCTGGGTGTGCGCCAGTTTGCTGAGACAATGATGTGCGCTGTGCTGTATGACGCGGCCAACAGCTTCGTCCACCAGCACTTCGTGGAGGTGTCCGTGTCGGAGGAGTTCCTGGCCCTGCCCTTGGAAGACGTGCTGGAGCTGGTGTCTCGGGATGAGCTGAACGTCAAGTCCGAGGAGCAGGTCTGCGCAACGCTGCGGCAGTCCACTGGGGACACGGGCTGCTGCTCGTTCCTGTTTTTGCTTTCTTTTCTTTTGGGTTGTTTTTTTTAAACAAAATGAAGAGCATGATGTGTTTGCAGTTTTTATTTATTATTATGGGTTTGTTTTAGCATGTCGTGCACATTTTTCAAGGGATGTGACCTGGACAGCTCGCACTTATTGGAGCACTGCCTGTGTAAGGGCTGGAGGCTTTTAGAGAGAGATGTCCCTGGGACGAGAGCCATTAAGGAAGGCTCTGTGGAGACCATGGATCTTGAGCCAGATCCTAGGAAAGGGGAGTGGGTTTAGATGAGGAGGAGGAGATGAGGGGACAGTGTGAGCAGAGGAACCAGCCAGCCTGGAGGAGGGTCGTGTAGGCAGTTTAGGAGCAGGGGACAGGAGCAGCAGGAAGGAAGGCCAACAGGGATTTGGTTGCGAAGCAGAAAGGAATAAGGTCCCTTTGACAGGTTTTCACAATGAAAGCCAGGAACTGTTACAGTCACCTGGGCTTGTGCTTCGAGATTGGACCAAATGCGGTCGCTGGGGAAGCAGAGAGAAAGCAGCGGATCCAGGAGACAAGAAAGACTGACTGAATGGCCCAGGGACTGCCTCAGTGGAGGCAGTGGAGGGGGCCCAGGCATGTGCCTCTGCCTGGAGGGCATGCGGCCAGAGCTTCCACTCTATCGTGGCAGGTCTTTGAAGCCGTGCTGGCCTGGGTCAGGTACGACCGGGAGCGGAGAGGCCCCTGCCTGCCCGAGCTGCTGTCCAACATCCGCCTGCCCCTCTGCAGGCCCCAGTTCCTGTCGGACCGCGTACAACAGGATGACCTGGTGCGCTGCTGCCACAAATGCAGGTAAGCAAGGGAGGGCCTGCGCTGCGTGCTGCCCAGAGTCTGGGCAGGGAAGAGACTTGGCTGCTTAGGAGAGGAAGTATGTGGGATGGTCAGCCTTCACTCACAGCACACGATTGGTCTGCCTTCTGTCTAGAACCTGGAAGAGCCTGAGTCTATACTTTGGGCAGAGAAATGTGCAATATGGGATTATCATGGCAGAAGAGGCTTTCTCCCCTAAGTTATCTGAGGATTTTGTAGCATCTCCATCCATTGAGTTATTCATGAACATACTGACGTCTACACTGGTTTCCCTGACTAGCCACGCCAGCTGCTGGCTTAGTAGTGACTCCTGGGGCTCCTCACCCTCTTCCGTAAATGCTAATGGGTGCTCTGTTCTCAGGTGGGAGTGGACCTGCATCCGCAGTGATGGGCGGGCAGGGGGCAGCGTGCACACAAACATGGGAAACTTTCACCCAGTGTCAGTCAGCGACAACATGGCCGGCGGAGCTGCCAAAACAGCTCCAAAGACAGTAGCCCTACAGGGGGATCCTTATAGAAGTAGAGCAGCAGAGAAAAATGTTTATCCTCCTTCAAATTACTTGTCATGTGCAAAGCGGGTTCTGCAGGAAGTCGGTGGCTTGGTGCAAGCAGAATGGTATGTGTCAGGTAGGAGATGTGCCTGGCGTTAGCTGGGACCTGTGACACACAGCCTCAAGGGTGCTCTTGAGGAGACCAAGCTTCATTCTGTAGACAACTGGTAGCCATCAAAGGCTCTTAGAAAGACAGCTTGGACTGTGCTGTGGAAGGCGGAGTGGAGGGCTGGGGCTGGGCCAGGGAAATCCAATAGCAGCAATTGGCCTTTGTGGCCACAGCCCAGGTGAGAGATGGTTAATCGCAGGATGGAAGCCATAGGAATGGAAAGGAAGAGTGGCCACAGGATACAGGCTCTTCCAGCCGCCACCCTGCTTTTCTCCTGCCAGGTGTGTGCCTGTTAGAAGACAGTCTCTCTGGTAGCAGCCAGGGCGGGCGCAGCTCGTCCTGCTCCCCAGATTTTGAGTGTGTCTCGAGAGCTGCATATGGCTTCTCCTGCATTCAGCTGGGTTCTTTGAGAGCAGACCTTCCAGAAGGCTTCTCTTCCCAGGTTCCCCTGCACTTCCCAGGTTCTGAGGCTTAGAAATGCAACTGTGGACCACATAGGGAGGATACCTCCTGTCCTAGCATTTTACACCTTGTTCCAGGGACCTGGTAGATGAAGCCAAGGACTATCACCTCATGCCAGAGCGCCGGCCCCACCTGCCGGCTTTCCGGACTCGGCCTCGCTGCTGCACATCCATCGCTGGGCTTATCTATGCCGTGGGCGGCCTCAATTCAGCAGGTATCTTGCAACTCTGCCTTTGCAGAGCCCTGTCTCGGATTCTGTGGATGAGGAAGCACCAAACATCTATCCTCGCCCTTGGGTTCCTCTCCTTGCGTGTCACCTCCCTGTCTCAACTTTATGTCATTATATCATTTATGTAGTTAGAGCATGTCGGGTATTAATACTATTGAATCCAAATATTGGAGCTAAAGAGGCCTTTAGAAATCCTTGTGGTTTAGCCCCATTACCTTACAGATGGGGAAATTGAGGCCCAAAGGACTGGAACTTGAGTCCTGGTTCCTGAGCCAGCACTCTTTAAGATTTTACTTATTTACTTTTAGAGGGAGGGGAAAGGAGGGAGAAAGAGAGAGAAACATCAATGTGCGAGAGATACATTGAGCTGTTGCCTCTCACAAGCCTCCAACTGGGAATCTGGCCTGCAACCCAGGTGTCCTGACTGGGAACTGACAGGCGACCTTTCGGTTTGCAGGCCGGCACTCAGTTCACTGAGCCACGCCGGCCAGGGCCAGCGCTCTTTCCCTGATGTTACACTGACTATTAGATGGGCCCAGTCCTGGATAGGATCTAATCAGAGACCCAGTTCTGTTACCAGGCTGATCACATTTGATCTTAAGGCTCCCTGGGGGTTAGACTGCGAGAATGTCACCGTAAGGACACCTCTCCAAATACACAGGGCCTGCCACTGTCAGCGATACACACTGCTCTTTACCTCTTAGCTCCTGTGACACGCATGTGCTTTGCCATCTATGTGCCATTGGCAGCTCTCGTATCATACAGTCGGGCTTCCGGGAGCGCCCCATGGGGCCCCTGCCCTCCTCGCCAGGCCCCATTGCAGGGCGGTAGCGACTTGGGCGAGAGGGCAGCGTGGGCACCTGAATCCTGTCAGTACAGTGGCGTGGGGAGTTGTCACCTCCCGAGTAGAGGCCAGGCCTTTTCATATTGTCAGTCCAGTTTGCAGGGGGTGGGGAATAGGTGGGTAGTCCTGGCAGGTTTGGGTTTTTTTAAGATGTTATTTATTTATTTGTAGAGAGAGGGAACGGGAGGGAGAAGGAGAGGGAGAGAAACATCGACGTGAGAACATTGATGTGGGACAGAAACATCGATTGGTTGTCTCTCATACGTGCCCCGACTGGGGACTGAACCCACAAACTTCCATTTTGTGGGACAACATCTAGTCAGGGTGGCAGTTTTGTTTTCACCCGAAAGCTAATGAGAGGTGGATGCTAGTCTCCGCTGCTCACTAACTGTGTAGCCTGTAAGTCCTCAACTGGTAACCTGTAGTGGGGTGGATGCTAAATGGCCCCAGAGCAGAATAAAAAGCAGGGGGGTATTTTTGATCCTCACAGGAACCTAATGAAAAGGTAGGATTGAAATTATCATTCCTTGCTACTATGACTACTGCTTACTGAATGCTTAGTCTATTCTAGAACTACGCTAAGTGATTTACATATTATATCACTTAATCCTCATGGCAACTCCGCTTAGAGATTATCTTCATTTCACCTGTAAGAGCAGAGGATGGAGCTACAAAGCAACTTGCCCCACGGTCAAGGGCTGGCAGTGAAAGTGGGCATTGGCAGGCATGCCCTTCCCTCCCGCCGTGCCTCCTGCAGTGGGGCAGTAGTGTATCTGTCCGCCTTGATCTTTGGCTTCAAGCAGATGGAGTGCCTCCTTGCAACTTAAAAAATTGCCCTCTCTAGAAAGAGTCTCCCATCTGATTCTGATTTTCCTTAAAGAATTAGGTTTGAGCCCTGGCCACTGTGGCTCAGTTAGTGGGAGGGTTGCCCTGTAACCAAAAGGCTGTGAATTCCATCCTCAGTACGGGTGTGGGCATGCGCGACCCCAGCCCGGACACAAGTGATCCCCGGTCCGAGAGCACAGGGGAGGCAGCTAATGATGCTGTTCTCACTCCCATTGATGTTTCTCTTTCTCCGTGCCTCCCTCTTTAAAAAAAAAAAAAAAAACAGTGAAAAAAAAAAATGCCCTCAGGTGAGGGGGAAAAAAGAATTAGGTTTGAGGTTATTACGGCTGAAATTTCTTAATGGGCCCTTCTGGCTTGAAATCCCGTGGGAAGAACTGATAGAATCTAGTTAAACATTCCATATAATCAGTTCCCAGCAACTGTGATCTAAACGAGTGGTCTCATTTGTTTAAATTTGAGTAGCAAATTTTTATGCAGGTGATTCCCTGAACGTGGTGGAAGTGTTCGACCCCATCGCCAATCGCTGGGAGAAGTGCCATCCCATGACGACAGCCCGCAGCCGTGTGGGTGTGGCTGTGGTGGACGGGCTTCTCTACGCCATCGGGGGCTATGACGGCCAGCTTCGGCTGAGCACTGTGGAGGTCTACAACCCCGAGACGGACACTTGGACCAGAGTGGGGAGCATGAACAGCAAGAGAAGGTATTCTGGAAGCCACTTGTGCAGTCCGCGCATGCACAGGGGCATCTGCGGGTGCCGTCCTAGACAAGCAGGGGCGCGTAATAACATAAAACGCGAGCTCTGGTCCGGGAACTTCCTGCAGCCAGACCAGCCACGGCCTGTTCCTCCAGCTGGGAGCGCCCCGGCCGCTTAGAGCAAAGTGCCTGCCTTGTCCTGTGAGGAACTCAGGGAGATGAGTCATGGGTGTGTGGAAGTTGTATTGTTATTTAGGTCCTGGATAAGGCTGAAAATGTGTGTATGGAAGATTCGATGAGGGAGAGAAGCTAGACTGGGCCATCTGGGAGAATGCAGAGAAATGGCAGGGAGCAGGGGTTAAAGTTGAAACACAAGAGTAAGGGGTGGTAAGAGGAAATCCAAGGTGTTTTTCTTTATACTTTGTTTCACCCAGGATCCCTGCCAGGCATGTGCTTTCACTCCCTGGGAGCATAGGAACCATAGCAATGTTCCTCCCTCCAGGACCGCCCCCATCCCCCCCCACCGCATGAGCACGTGGGTGTCGGCGAGGTGGACCGAGTTCACGTCTCTCCACACACCCCTTCATTGCAACTTGCCCGCTCACATTCCCCAATAAGGAGTGGGATTACAGGACACCCACATAGTGTCCCATGTAACCTTTTTAGTGCCAAAGCAACAGGTGGCATCTTTCCTGCTGTCAGCTGCATGTGGAGTGTTTCTGTGGTCGGGCAGAGAGAGGTTTGGAGGGGGAGGGCGGAACTGGACAGGTTCTTCCCTCTCCTGCCCTCAGCGAGGCCACACCGATCGGTGGTTTCAAGTGGAAGCCTGATGTTTCTCTTCCAGGACTGACGGAGGAGAGGAAAGCTGTCCAAGGCTCCTACCCACTTAACTAGAGCAGCTCTACATTTATCACTTTTACATGTTGAGCTTCCTTGACCTATGCCCAACCATAGGGAGAAAAGGTACATGAATTTTTTTGAAAGGGGCAGTTTGACAACCCCTGCACCAGTTGCTCTTTAAGGACTTTGCTAAGTGTTTGCCTCACAGACCGCTTTGTCTGGCCATGCTTTGTGTTCTCCACTTGTAAGATCTCGTGACCACACAAAAAGATCAAGTGAATGCATGTGGCAAGGAAGAAAAGTCGGCATGCAAGTCCTTTGTCACATGGAAGTGTCACGGCCATGATACGCATGTTCTGCCTTCATTGGTGTTAGCATTGGCCTCAAGCCAGCAGGAGTCTGCCTTTGCATCGGTAAGATCAGATTCACAAAGGGTCCTAGCTGATTTGATTTGAAAGGAAAATGATGTATGTAAGACCTGCTCACCCCGAGGCGGCGAGCCAGTGCTTGGATGGTCACAGTTCTGTCCCCAACCAGCGCCACCTCAGCGCTTCCCCTCTGCACTCCTTGGATACTTTGCAGCTTTCTGTGGCCTCAGAGGACTCATTGCTCCATATGATCCTTTTTTGCTTTGACTTCAATCAGTTCTTCCTTGTTTGTCTGCCCTGGGCTCCATCCTAGCTTTCATATCACGGGGTTTGGAGGCTTGTCTGGGAGGAAGGTCCTCTGGGTGTTCGTTTCCCTCACTATGGTCAATGCTCTGTTATTAGTAGTGTGGGTCCAGCTCCACTTCATCCCCTTTAAATTACAGGCTACCCTAAAATGTTCTCAGTCACTCCCCTCCTGACATCCCACACGGCGCTCTGTCCTGCCAGTTGGTGACAAGCTCCTTTCTGCCGTCATTCCCTCCCTCTCCTCCAGTCTTCCAGGGAGCTTCCTCCCCTAGTGATTCCAGTCCACACCAACCAACATTCCCCTTATCTCTTCATCCTCGTCTTTGCCAATTAGTTGATAGTTAATGTCACATAGTTTTGTGGCACCTCTTAATTCTTTCTCTTATTTTTGTTGAATTTCCGTGTTGTTACTTGTGTCTGCTTCGAAAAGGATAGTGACAGGTCTAGTGACTCGGTGGTCTTCCCACTGTCCTTGCCTAAGGCAAGGGCATTTCTTCTTTCACGCTGGTTCAGGGGATCTGTTATCACATCCCTCAAAGGGACATTGCATGGATCAGTTTGATTTGCTACATAAATTAGAAAGATGGCAGTAAGCTGGTACATTTCGTTTTCCTGTCTGTTAGACACCCAGATTTATTTATAATCTCCAGCATTAGGTTTGAAAATGGAATCGGGCAGCTTGGCATTCATGTTTAATTTCTTCTGAGGCTTTGTGCAGAGAAGATTATAGGTTACGCCAGACGCCTGGGTCTTTGGTGTTAGGAGAGCTCGGCCTGGCGAACAGTGTGGGAGTGGGGCTTGCCTCGCTGAGGTCTGAGCGCCCCTCTCCTGGCAGCCGGGGAGAGGAGCCCAGCCCCCAGCCGCTGCTGCCTGTCAGTACAGTGATGGTGTTGGCAAGAGACCAGCACAGGGTGCCTGACACACGCAGTAAGTGCACAACGGCAGGAGCTGTTATGCCACCCACTGTGACAGATTAGGGCCATGCAGAGCCGTGTATATACTAACAAGACATTTGTTGAACTTTATAGTGAAGTGAGTGGGAAAATCACGGTAACACAGTAAGCATGTGTTGAGAGCCTGTATGTACAAAGCATCGCACAGAGCACAGTCAGGGTCACACTGAGGAGGTGTGGGGTCAGGAGGGAGTCATTCTTGCTGAAGTGTCAAGAGGAGAGAGGAATTTGACCGGGGGCTAAAAGGTAAGTTGGACCGGGAGTGCAGCAAGGTGGAGCATATAAGCATGTGAGACAAATTGAGGACTGAGACGACTGGGGAGGGGAGGAAACCCCAGTAGGTGCGGGGGAGGAGGGCAAGAGGAACTCAGGGCAGCTGCTTTGCCCTCAGTTTTACACCTTCACGTTGCCCCCTACCTGGGATTTAGGTCTGTTCTAGAAAGAGGCAGTCGGTGAGCAGGTTGATTTCTCAGTGAGCATGACAGTGGCCGCAGGAAGCCTGAGGCCCATCTGGGATGACACTCTGTCTGTTTCAGTGCCATGGGGACAGTCGTGCTGGACGGGCAGATCTACGTCTGCGGGGGCTATGATGGCAACTCCTCTCTCAACTCTGTGGAGACCTACTCGCCTGAGACGGACAAGTAAGGGCTCCGTCTCCCCGGGCACCTGGGGCTCGCTAAGCCGGGAGGATGAGGAGTCAGACCTGCAGCTCTTAAATCAGGCTTCTCGATCAGGGAGAGTGTATCTTACCTTTTTAGCCCCTGTAGTACCTTGCACATAATAGGCATTTATTTAATAACTTTTGGTTAAGTGAATGAATTATTAAATGTTTTAGAAACAAATAGCCCGCAAAGATACTGGAAACACTTATTCAGTGCTCTGTACCTCTGAGCTAAATGAGCCCAGCGTAATGGAAATGCAGATGAAAGAGGATAAGGAATGGATGAGCAGCACTTTCTAAAGTGGGGAGGATCCGATTGTAAAAAAATTTTTAAAGTCCCATGGTCAAATAAGTTGGACACATGGATGTCTGTACCACCAGAGTCCTTATCTTTCCATAAAGCAAGATGGAAAATTCTGCAGTAAAGAGACCTGTTTAACCTCATATAACACCTAGCACCAGCTTATGGAATTATTTTGTGGACCACTCTTTGGAAAACACTAGCAAGGTTAGCCCAAATTTTTAATTTCAGTATTTGAATTTTCTCATGTAACAAAATATAAGCACATTAGTAGAATGGATTCATCAGAGTACTTTTAAGCCAAATTTCCACTCATTTCACCAATATATTGTGTATCAGACAACAAACAAGGTGTCTAAGATCGTTAAGTAGAAACCAGTCTGCAGGGCCACAGAGGCATCACAGTCGTCCTACCCTGGGGGCCTGTGTCTGGCACTGGCACAGCGTGATGAATGCCTTTATCTTCCCCACACTTAGTGGGGAGACAAGGTTAGGCCCATCAGGGACAGCAGGTGATGCTCATTTAGGCAGGGCGACAACAAGAAGAGAGCTTTGGAGATAAGACCCTGCCCGGCGTGATCAGGGAGAGGCGTGGGTGGCGCGTGGCAGGGGGTGGAGCTGGCAAGCTGACCAGGACCAAGTGGTAAAGAACCACGTTAGGGACCTTGGACTCTGCCTGAGAGGAAACAGTGAGGAGCCACTGGAGGGACATGCTACTCGGGGTCCAAATGAGAGTTGTCCGAATGCCAGGCCACATGGAAGGGGGCTGCTGCAGCGGGCCCAATGAGAGCCCAGAGCCGGAGGATGAGGTCAGGCCCTGCCGAGGAGGCAAACCAGCAGGGAATTGGCAACCACAAGAACGCCGAGGTTGAGGGAGAAGAAGCCCTAAAAATGCTGAGTTTACAAGTATGGCAGCTGGGGAGCTGGTGGTCCCAATTAACAAGACCGCGGAGCACAGGGGAGGGGCAGATCTGTAGGAGAGGCGCTGCTTAGGACATGCTGACCTGAGTGCCTCAGAGATGAGCAGAGGGGACCCGCTGCGGGTCTGAAAGCCACATGCAGGGGGAGGGGGCGGTGATGAAGAGGCAGGTGGTGCGGAGCCAGAGGAAGCGCAGCGCAGCGCAGCGCTCCCGGACCTGTCTAAGCCGTCTTGGGAGGACAGGGACACCAATCTCACGGCTCCCCTCCTGCTTTGGCTCTTTCCTGAAGGTGGACAGTGGTGACCCCGATGAGCTCGAATCGCAGCGCTGCTGGGGTCACAGTCTTTGAGGGCAGGATTTATGTGTCGGGCGGCCACGACGGTCTGCAGATCTTCAACAGCGTGAGTCGGGCTGCTCCCGGGCTAAGGGCTCTTAAGCCTTCCGTCTTTGAAAGCCGTTTGGGAAGGCAGTTCTCTGGGGAAAACGTTAGCCTGCCCGTTGTTGGGTGAGGCATCATCTAGTGGGGTTTTGGGCCGTCGCCTGTGAGCTCAGAAATTCTTCTGAGAATGGGAGCCAGGGTGCGTGGGGGAGGCAGAGTGTAGCTACCCTCCGCCCCCGCGTTTCGTTGTCCATCGAAAGCTGCCTGAGACCTGGTGAGGGTTCTCCCCAAAGGTCAGTCATAGACAGTGTGACTTTGCAGACAGCTGTAGTCTTCTGCATAATTTGTTTGAAATACAACCTCGACAGCCATGTCCTGGTGGCCGGTCCCCGAGGACCCCGCAGTGCTGCGGTGGGACACGTGCATCCGGCTGCCACTGCACAGCAGAGCAGCCTTGGGCAGGTCCTTCGTTTGCTTCTTTGGATGGAAACAGAAGGGGTCAGAGTAGGCTCCCTCTCACCTGTCCCTATAAGCCCAAGAACAACGAAGGAAATAGCGTCGAAGCCACAGCCCACACTGGCAGAGCCCCTCGTCCCTGGGCCTCCCACTGGGGTCTGATGCCGTGTGGGCCACTGTGCCCCGCGAAGCCACCCACGGACAGAGCCTCGGCTCTGACTGCCCTGTGCCTGTGCCCCTTCCCCCGCTGCAGGTGGAGCACTACAACCACCACACGGCCACCTGGTACCCTGCCGCGGGCATGCTCAACAAGCGCTGTCGGCACGGGGCCGCCTCTCTGGGGAGCAAGATGTTTGTCTGTGGGGGCTACGACGGCTCTGGCTTCCTCAGCATCGCCGAGATGTACAGCGCTGTAGCAGACCAGTGGTGCCTGATTGTGCCCATGCACACGCGCCGGAGCCGCGTCTCCCTGGTGGCCAGCTGTGGGCGCCTCTACGCTGTGGGGGGCTATGACGGACAGTCGAACCTCAGCTCAGTGGAGATGTACGACCCCGAGACGGACTGCTGGACATTTATGGCCCCCATGGCATGCCATGAGGGAGGGGTCGGCGTGGGCTGCATTCCCCTCCTCACCATCTGAGGCAGAGGACGGGGTGCGGTGGGGCAGGGATCTGGTACAAACATGGCACTTCCGTCCGGGGACTGTCCCTCTCGGGGGAGGCGGTAGACCAGAAGACGGGGTGAAATGTGAGCTCACCAGAGGTACAGTTTTTCCAGGTGCTTAAGTCCTCCCTCACTGTGCTGCCCTGTGACCTTCAGGTCTAGGTCATCAAGGTGCACAGCATGGGACAGAAGCCTGCCTGGGTCCCGCAGCTGGTGACACATGACTGCTTTGATGGTCCACACATACACAGGCTCCATCCAAGCGCAGGTCCCACCTGCACAGCTCTGAGCCACCCCCGGGCAGACGGCCTTCCGTCTTACACTCCTCCCCTGCTGTTCTCCAGCCACGTGGTGGCCAATTTGTGACGGGGCGGCTGCAGCAGCCAAGCCTGTTGGAAGTTGGGGTGCGGCTGGGAGAGGACAACACACCCCACATGTCTCACTGCCTGCGATGATGCAGCTGCAGGAAGGCGCTCGGTTGCACGCAAGCACCTCCTTCGGTCCTAGGGCACAGGCTTTGGTCCTTGGTGGTGGGTGAACAGGGAGGAGAGAAGCTTTTCCTGTGTCTAGTGTTGGGATTTCAGTGAGGTCTTCTTCATGTTATTCAGGAGAAACAGAAGAAAAAGAGATACTTGAAAGAAACTGAAGGAAATTTAAACACTTGAAAGAAACTGCAAAGAAAAATACTTTTTAAAAGGTGAACATTTTTTGCAAGAAGAAAACATTTTTTTAAAAAAGACACTAAAGGGAAATAAGGGTTTTAAATAGAAAACCACCCGACATGAAAAGGGCGGTGACCACTCCCACTCGGATCCCAGGGTCCTGAGGCCTCGCGTAGCACTCGGGGTTCCCTCTGAGCCCCAGCGTGTCTGGAACCGGCGCGCTCGACTGGTCCTGTAGCCAGGTGCTCATGGGTTTGTCTTCACACCCATCATCAGAGGACTTTTTTAATCGTAGGCTTAGAGAGTCGGCTGAATTACTGCCGCTGTTCCAGGCGGGGGCTCCCAGCTGGTCACTGGAAGCTTCGGGTGCCCCTGTGGGCACCTCCCACTGCCACCAGGGCTCTCATTCAGACTCCCCAGCCCCGCTTTCATGTCTTTCTTATTTGACCAGCAGGAAATAGCACGTCTGGTCAGACTCACTTGCCTGTCTGTCATTCTGAGATAGCTGTCCTCGCTGTGATGCTCCTGGGGCACATCACATTTGTACCTCTGGAGCCTGACCAAGGACTTGGTCCTTCCACCAGCCGTGGTGGGCTTGGTCCGGTCACCCTGTCTACCTGCCAGCCCACTGCTCCTCCATCCACTTGCCAATTCCAGGGGCCTGGCCTCCCTCCAGCCCTTGGCAGGCTGACCAGCAAGGTGGACATTTACACTCAAGCAAAGCTGGCTCTGTGATGGGAAGAAGTAAAGGACCAAGGGACTGCTTGCTGCTGCAAAGAACAGATTTCACGTTTCTTCCTCTGATCTTAGGAAATGACCTCTTGAAGACACTCCAAGCTCCATCCTTCTCCTCCCTGGATGGGACCTCCATGTAGCACAGCAGGACCAGAAAGGAGGACACCTTGTATTACCAGTGCACTGAGCAGTGGGGCTGTCCGTCAACTGCTGCTGCCAAATGTGTTCTACAGTGCTTCCGGGAAGAGGAAAGGGAGTACAGTTATTTCAATGCAAGACTGGGTCTTAGGGTCCCATCTCCGCTGGGCGGCGTGTCTGTTGCTGCCTGCCCAGAGTAGGCCGGAAGCCTGTTCAGAAAGGCACGATGTGGAGTCTGAGATGTCTTCCGCCCTAGGCCCAGGGGGGTTACCAGGCTGCGCCGTCACCGTGTACGCAGGGGGAAGTACCTTTTTTACCTGCCACTTAGGCGCTGGGCCTCTGTTACAAGCACTTGAAAATGATGTCTTGTTTTTTTGTTTTTAACGACTCAACAATCTGATATAGTTTAGCCTGGGCTCCTGGAGGAGCTCTGACATTCCTCGCTCCCTCTCAGTTTGCCTACCGAGGCAGACTCAAAGGAGGCTGGCGCCTGCGTTTCCCGGTGGAGAGCAGAGGATCAGTGCTCATCTTCCTATAGGAAGCCCCTTCTGTTGTGTGTCTGAGCAGCACTGACGAGCCTGGATTGTGAGGGTGTCAGGAATCAGTCAATGGGCTGATGTGTGGGCCTCGCCAGGGCCTGAGGATGCTGGCCCAGATGCTGCCATTGGGCATGCCGGGTCATTTTCCCATCATCTGCTGCTTTTGCAGTGGCCTTCCTAAGTCCACGCCCACCCCGCCGTGTAGAGGTTACGCTGCTGCACCTGAGGGCATTTCCAGGGAAGACGAAGCCAGCGCCCGGATCCGGGCCCGAGCACAAGTGCACAAACCATTTTCACGCTCGTCACGGTCAGTTCCTCAGTCTGCTGGTGAACGTTTGCAAATGGCTGGTGGCCCTGTGGTGTTGGAGCCTTTCCAATAGTGCCGTGAATATCACCCGTGGATATTGTGAAAGGGTATGACAAGGAGGTAGGACAGGTGCTGTGCTCAGTGGCTGGCCTCGCCCAGCTCTGAGCAGAGGACTGTGACCTCCTTTGTCCTTGGGCATTTCCCCGTAGGTAACACATGGGTTTCGTCTGAGATCAAAGCCAAGGTGGGGCTGAAGACCAGCCTCTAGACTTGGCCACAGAGATGTGAGTGGATAGAAATTCTCCTCCTTCCGCCCACTTTATTGTCTCCCAGAAAATCTTATTTCCTTTTATTTATAGAACGCATGTCTTTTGTGTTAAGAAACCAAAGAGAAATAAAGAGTACACTTCTAATATCTTCTTGCCCTTTTCTGATTTGTTTTTAGTACTTATTAGAAGTAAATAATATTTTTATTGTAATTCGGTGAAAAAATACATCAGACAAAGTAAAAATGTGCCTGTGAAAATAAGGGAAAAGCCAGATACAGCAAAGCAGTCTTCGGAGAGACGTATGTAACTTATAAGAATGGGTTCTGGTGAAAAGTATGCAAAAGGCTTCAATAGCATGTTGCATATCGCTCCTGTCCAGATCGCCACTCCCCTCGGATGTCGCCTGTTCTTCACTCACTGCCATCAAGCTCCAGAGTCCCCTGGTGGGATGGGGCTGGCCTGCCGGCTGCCTGGAAGCAACTGGTCCGGCTCCTCTTCTGTACTCTAGACCAGGGGCGCTTAATTTTGGTGCACTGAAGTCACTTTTTTTTAATTTAATTTTTTATTGAATTTATTGGGGTCACATTGGTTAATAAAATTATATAGGTTTTAGGAGTATTATTCTATAACACACCATCTGTATATTGTGTGCTTACCACCCCAAGTCAAGTCTCCCATCACCCTTTATCCCCCCTTTACCCTCTCCCGCCTCACTGGAGAATTCTTAAACCACAGGCTCATTTGTAGATGCCTCCGCAGAGCTGACTCCCTAGGGCTGGGGTGCAGCTTAGGCACTCTGGTGCGGGCAAGTATCCATGTGTGAACTAGACTCCTGTGTTTTGTGTTCACTTCTACAAATACAGCCACATTCCAGATCTGCCTCCCTGAGGTTAGATCCTGGTTACTGGGTTGTGGCTATTAAGAAACTCTTCATTCACACTCTTCCAAAAAGTTAGCTAATGGACAGGTTCATCCACTGGGTAACGATTATACTCGGATGGCAACTTCCTTTGATCAGTTTGGAAGCGTGTGACAGCCCTACGTACTCCCCACCAGCACGTGTTCGACACATAAACACTGTCTATTGATCGTCACTTGCTCTTCTCAGGAGTTCCCACAGTGTAGGTAGCAATGGCTCATTAATTAGCATAAGGAAATGGCCTCCGCAGGACTAACCGACCTGGTTCAACTACCTGGTAGTCCTGTCTAGCACTGAGACCAGACCTCCACACTCACAGGCAAGTTCACCTGAGGGGAGCTGTGTCTTTGACCTTGGAAGCAGCTGATCACCCAGCCTGCACACCTGGTGTGTGGAGGTGTGCTGCCTGGTGCTCTGATGGACTTCGGAGGAGCAGCCTAGGCACGAGGGAAAGGGACAAAACCACAGGTAGGTTATAGAAGCAGGCGGTTCTGTGCCAAAACAGGCAACCAGGTTATCTCAGAGCTGTTGTGGGAGAAAGGACAGGTGCCTACAAAGTAGTAAGAGCTCTTTTCTTGCTCAGAACTAAGGAGCCCTTTGGGGAAGAGGGGGCTGGTGAGCTTTGGCTGCCCGCTTCTGCTTGACTGCATTTCCTTTTTTGTTGCTCTTTGGACTCCTCCCCTCTTACACTAGCAGCAGAGCCCCCTCCTTACCCCAGAGGCAAACACTACTGGTTTTTACTGCTGCTCATGAAAACACAACGCACACAACCAAAAAATGACAAGGGAATTGTTCAGCTCTTATAGACATTAGCCCAGACTGCTCCCATTTTCATCTCATGAGATGACAGAGATGTTCCTCTCTTTAACGGAGCCCAGTTTCCTATTTACCTTATTCTAGGTTTGCAGTTCAGGATAAAAACCCAGGCTCCATAGCATGGCGTACAAGGCCACCGTGACCTGGCACCTCTTCCCACTCGGTCTCCCTGAAACAGACCGTCAGGGTGTCAGTTTAGAGGTCACCCCTGCAGCAGAGCGTCTCCAGTGAGCCTGGTGCCCCTCTGGGCTTGTCGCCGACTGTCTCACTAGAGCGATGGCCTGTTTGCTTGTTCTGTGCAGTAGGTGATGAGCTCCTTGAGAGTCTCCATTGTTGTGTACCCAGCACTGGGAAAAAAGAAGAAATGCAAGGACTATTTATTTTAAACTTGAGGACAGTCAGGTGCATACACAGTCAAAGTTTGCATAACCGTGCTTCCCTAGTCTGCCTCTGTTTTGCATCGCTGGTTGTTTTTTAAAGGTTTTACTGAGTTACAGTTTACATCCCTTAACATTCACTCATTTTCTATGTGCAATGCAATGATTTTTAATAAATGTAGAATTGTGCAGCCATTACCACATTTTGGAATATTTTCATTGTTCCAAAGTGTTCCCTTTTCCCTCCTGCCTGTGTGAAATGAATCATCCTCAGGCAACCACTGTTTTGCTTTGTCTCTAGACTTGCCCATTCTGGATATTTCATGTAAATGGGATCATATCATGTGTGCAGTCTTTTTCCTTTTTTAGAATGTTTTTGAGTTTTGTCCATGTTGTAGAATGTATCAGTAGCTTGTTTCTTTTATTGTTCCTGAATAGTTTTCCACCTGTGGATATACCTCATTTTGTTTATCTTTTTTTTTTTTTTTTTACCATTAATTGATAGATATTTAGATTGTTTCCAGTTTGGGGCTATTATGAATAATACTGCTATGATGTACAAGTTTTTGTGGACATATATTTTCATTCCTCTTTGGTAGACTCCTAGGAGTACAATTGCTGGGTCACATGGTAAGTTTATATTTAACTTTTTAAGAAATTTATAATCTTTCCCAGAGTGGCTGCACCATTTTGCATTCCCACCAGCAGTGTATGAGGGTTAGGTTTCTTTACATCCTTGTCCATTCTTAGAATTCTCTCTCTTTTGGGTTATAGCCATTCTACTGAAGTGACATCTCACTGTGGTTTTAATTTTCATTTCTCTAACAACTAATGATTTTGAGTGTCTTATCATGTGCTTATTAGCTATTTGTATATCTTTGGTAAAATATCTATTCAAATCTTGCCCATTTTAAAATTAGGTCACATGTCTTATTAATGGGTTATATGAATTCTTTATATATTCTGGATACAAATCTTTCATCTGGTACATTTTTTGCAAGTATTTTCTCCCAGTCTATGGCTTGTCTTTCATTTTCTTAATGGTAGAAGTTTTTAATTTTTGAAGTATAATTTACTAATTATCTCTTATGGATCATACTTTTAGTGTCATATCATAAGAACGTTTTTTATTTATTTTTAGAGAGAGCAAGGGAGAGAGAGGAAAACATTGATTTGCTGTTCCACTTATCAGTGCATTCATTGATTGTTTCTTGCAGGTGCCCTGACCGGGGATCAAACCCACAGCCCTTACGACACCCTAACCAACTGAACTACCCAGCCAGAGCCTTAAGAACTTTTTGCCCAAACCAAGGCTATTAGAAATTCTTCTAGAAGCTTTATAGTTTTAGTTCATAACTATAGTTTAGTTAAGTGATCTATTTTGAGTTAATTTGTTAAAATTCATCTTTCGGGGCACAGATATCCATTTATCTCAGCACATTTGTTATAAAGATGGTCTCTCTCCACTGAATTGCTTTGGTGCCTTTGTTGACATCAGTTGACCATAAATATAAGTTTATTTCTAGAATCTCAGTTCTGTTCCATTGATCTTATATGCCTATCTATGAGCCAATATCTCACTGATTATATAGTATCAATTTCTCCAACTCAGAAGTCAGTCTTAAAATTGGACAATGTAAGTCTACCAAACTTTGATCTTTTTCAAAATTCTTTTGACTATTTTAGATACGTCGTACTTCCATATAACTAATATTCAGCTTATTTATACAGAAGCATCTTCTGGGGTTTACATAGATACTGTGCTGAATTTATAGATCAATTTGGAGACAATTATCATCTCAAAAATATGAAGTCTTCCAATCCATGAACATAGAATGTTTATCATTTATTTAGAGCTTCCTTGATTTCTCTCAGCAATATTTTGTTATTTTCAGTGTACAAGTCTTGCACTTCTCAAATTAAAATGTGCCTAAATATTTTTTATGCTATCATGGGTGGAATTGCTTGCTTAATTTTATTTTCAAAGATTTTTGGCGCTAGTATATAGAAATATCATTGGGGTTTTTTTGTACATTGATCTTATATCCTGTGACCTTGCTAAACTCATTTATATTTATCTTTTTACAAAGGTATTTATGTGTGGACTCCTTGGGATTTTCTATATACATGACATACCATCTTTGAATAAAAAGAATTTTGTTCTTTCCTTTCCAATCTGGATGCCTTTAATTTTTTCCTGCCTACTGTACTGACTAGAACCTCCAGTACAATGCTGTGTAGCAGCGGGGCAGGTGGCGGGGAGGCGCTGGCTGGTGCAGCTCAGCGGATTGAGCACCGGCCTGCGAACCGAAAGGTGGCAGGTTGGATTCCCGGTCAGGGCACATGCCTGGGTTGCGGGCCAGGTTCCCAGTCAGGGGCATGTGAGAGGCAACCGATCAATGTATCCCTCACACATCAATATTAATAATAATTGGAAAAAGACATTCTTGCCTTGTTCTCAGTCTTAGGGAGGAAGACATTCAGTCCATCAAAAATATTAAGCTGTGGATTTTTCATCAGTGAACTTTAAATTGAAGTTTCATTCTATTTTTTACTCTTATTTTTTTAATTTTTGCAACTTGTTCTTATTTGATAATATATCTTTCTCATATGAGTGCACATAGATCTGCTTTATTTTTAAAATAACGCTGATAGTTCATTGCGTCGATGGACGTATGGGTCCGTTTTTGATGCCACAGCCAGTGCTGCTGTGAACGTCCCTATGCTGTGCACGGGTTTAGGCTGAACCAGTCTTTTCACTGAGGCTGCAAGATGAGGAGTCCCAGAGGTAAAGGGCACGATGACCATTTTAAATTTTGATACATGGTGAAAGTTGAGACCATCTGACACTGCCCTCTGTGTTCACCCTCTTTCCCATCCGGGCATTCCTATTCCAAACATCAACCTCGTTAATGGAAAAACAGCATCTTACTTTCATTTGCCTTTTTTTGCTAGTGGCATTGAGCATCTTCTTGTATTTGCTGGCCATTTGTAGTTGTCCTGTGAACTGTGTGTTTTGGAGTGTTGATTGTTTTCTTAGATTTTCAAGAGCTTAAGAGCTTATTGAATATTTCTCAAGATAGTTTCCCCAGTTTTTTGACTTTGTGAGTCTTTTTCCTTTTCATGCATTAAAACCTGTATTTTTATTTTTATGTGGTCAAATTTACTAGTGTTTTTTTTTTTTTAATGCTTTCTGGGTTTTCCAATTCTGAGATTATACAAGTATTTACTCATGTTTCGTTGTAGAACTGATGGTTTCATTTTATATGTTCAATCTTTGTCAGTTTAGCATTTAATTTCATTTAGGGAGTCAGATGGGGATCCATCTTTAATTTTATTTTTTAAGCCACTTATTGAATAATCTAGTCTTCCTCCACTAGTTAAAAAGCCACCTTTATTATGACAAGTTCTCACATGTGCTTTGGGTTTATTTCTTATCCCTATTCTCTGCTATTCATTTGACTAATACCCCTGTTACTAGGACCACATTTCTAATTACTTGATAATATTTTTAAAATATCTGCTAAAGCAAGACCCTTCTTAAGTCCTCTTAGAATATTTGTAATGGTTCTTATTTAATTAAAATTTACTTAGCCCTGGCCAGGTAGCTCAGTTGGCTAGAGCATTGGCCCAACACGCCAAGGTTACTGGTTTGATCCCCAGTCAGGGCACATACAAGAATCACCGATGAATGCATGAATAAGTGGAACAACAACAAATCAGTGTCTCTCTCTCCCCCCTCCTCTAAAATCAATCAATAAAATAATAAAATTTACTGCATCTTTTACATATAGAAAAGTACACAAATGGTCAGAATTACACTGGGTAAATTATCGCAAAGGGAACATCTCAGTCATGTGCCTGCCACCAAGATTGAACTGCTGCTGGCATTCCAGAGCACCTCTGTCTCCTGTTTTCGGCCTGTGCTGATCCAGCACCAGGGCCCCGCCCCACCCAGAAGTAACCACTACTCTTACTTTGGACACAAAAGCTTATTTTGCCCATTTTGTATACAATTCATTATGCATTGTAGTTCCTTCTGTGTTTGCTTTCTGCTTGGCCTTGTGAGATTCATCCATATTGTGGGTAGTAGTAGTAGTCATTCTTACAACTGCGCATATTCCATTGTGTTACTGTATGCTTCATCCTTTTTCTATGGTGGTGGTCATTTGGAATTTTTCCAGTGTTTGACAATTATGAATAAACAATGAACATTCTTGCTTGTATCCTTTGCTTCTATTTGTACATTGTTTTAAGCATTTATTGATTGTAGCCCTGGCTCAGTGGACTGAGTGCTGCCTGCAAACCAAAAGGTCACCAGTTTGATTCCCAGTCAGGGCACGTGCCTGGGAAGATGCCTGGGTTGTGGGCCAGGTCCCTCATTGGGGGCGTGCAAGAGGCAACCGATCGATGTATCTCTCACACATCAATGTTTCCCTCTTTCTCCCTCCCTTCCCTCTCTCTAAAAATAAATAAATAAAATATTTTTAAAAAATAAAAGATATTTAAAAACAGTTTATTAAAAAAATTAATTGATTTTAGAAAGGAAGGGGGGAGGAGAGAGAAACCTTGATTTGTTGTTTTACCTATTTATGCATTCCTTGGTTGATTCCTGTATGTGCCCTAATGGGGGAGCAACTCCTTGGCGTAGGGGGACAACGCTCCAACCAACTGAGCTACACAGCCAGGGCCATACATACATTTTTGATAAGAGATGAATCACTGGTTCATAAATGTTTATTTAGCTTTAGCAGATAATGCCAAACTTTTTCAAAATTTGCGTACCACATTCTGTTCTCATGAGCAGTATGTGGGACTTCGTTTGCTATATATCCTCACCAACAGTTGGTAGAATATTTTTAATTTTAGCTCTATTATGATGTATATGTCATGGTATCTTGTGTGTGTTTTTTAAAAATATTTTGCTTTAGTTTCAGGTATACATCATAGTGGTTAGACAATTGAGTTTCATTCTTAGTTTGTTGAGCTTTTGTCATGAGTGGGTGTTAGATGTGGTCAAATACTTTTCCTTCATCTATCAAGATGATCATGTGGTTTTTGTCCTTTAACCTGTTAACATGATATATAACATTAATTGATGTTTGAAATGTTGATCCAACTTGCATTCCAGGGATAAATCCCCCTCAGCCATGGTATATCGATATAATCCTGTTAATGTTGTGGGAAATGGTGTGCTAACATTTTGTTAAGTAATTTTGCATCCATGTTCATTAGAGATAATTTCTGTAGTTTTTTCTTCTTGTGACGTTTTTGGCCAGTAATACTGGCCTCACAGAATGAGTGAAGTGTTTCTTACTCCTCTATTTCGGATAGATTTTGTGAAGGATTGGTATTATTTTTTTAAATATTTGATAGAACTCATCAGTGAAGCCATCACTGGACCTTTTCTTGGAGGAAAAATTTTAAATTTCTAATTCAGTTTACTCACTTGCCTAGGATTGCCCTGAGGGTGGGATTCTGGTCCCTTAGGGGGTTGGACATTTGGGGTTAAGGAGGTTCTTGCCCTGTCAGCAGGGATTGAAACCACTAAAGTGAGCCCGATCTGACTCGGGCTCCTCATTTTCCCTCGCTCTTGCCTGGAGATGTTTACCTCTCGTCTCAAAATTCATCTCTGTGACTCTTGTACTGCCCACCTGCACCTCTTTCTGACTTCCAAATAGAAGAGGCCTCGGCGCTCAGCCCTGAGCTCTGACTTCATTCCACACGCTCTCTGCAGCTGATACGCCCTCTGCCGAATGGGAGCAGGGCCGCGGGACCGCGTCCTGTCTCTGCACCGGCACAGGTGCACACGTTCACGTGCGTATGTCCCAACAGGGCCAGGTCCAATGTGGAACCTCGGACATGGTTTCCCCATCCTCACACCTCTTCTCTCTTGCCGATTGTTCACTCAGGAACCCAGTGGTAGGTTTCGGAAGAGGGAAGGGATGAGAGTCATCCGTCCCCATCTTCTTCATCAGGCCAGCCGTGGCCCAGCCCTGTTGATTCGGCTCCCAGGGCAGTGCTGCTCTCTGCTCCCACGCTAGTGCACACCCTCAGCACCCGGCACCGCAGTCTGTGGTCAACAGAGCGGCCCAAGTGAGGTGCCTGCTCAGACCCCGCCAGTGGCTCCCCAGGGCCTCAGGCCCTATTCTGTTGGGATGGTTTGGGGGGCGGTTCAGACACAGCTCCCCTAAGAGAGAAGGTGTGTGGCACCAGCGATGGAGGGTCTGGGGCACTCTACTCCTCCATCCCCAGCAGAGCTCTCCTTGGCCCTTTACAGAGCATTTGAACATCAAGCCCACCTGGTCCAGCACCAACGCTTTATTCATTCACTCGTTCACTTAATCATTTATCTCAGAAATATTTTATTGAGCCTCTCTCCAAGGATGGGCTGACCCTCTTGGAAGTGCCTGCATATGTGAGGGGACATTTATTGTCACAGTACCTGGGCTGGGAGCGGGCGTACTCAGGGTCCTGCACAAATGGAGCTACCTTCCCAGGAGCACCTCACTGATAAACTCACTCCACTGCCACCTGCAGCTGGCTCTGAAGGGCACAGCGGTGAGAACACATAGAGCCGTCTGGCCACGTGGTTTGAGGAACATGAACGCTCTGAGGAGGGAACACTTTTGCCCAGGGGAAAGCAGGGAGGCTTCCTGGAGGAGGTGACTTTGGAGCCGTGCCTTGGAGGAGGAGTAGGATTTACAGACACAGGCAGGAAGAAGCAGAGGTGTGCGAAAGCAGAGGAGTGTGGGTGGGCTCAGACAATGCAGGGAAGGGGCTGCTGAGGGCGACAGGGAATGGATGGGTAGGAAGAGGGGGTTGTGGTGGGGAGGCAGGGCCTCCCCTTCCTTCTCCAGCCCTAGAAATTCCTCAGGATGTTGGAGATGATGTCGAACTTGGCTTTCTCATACATGTCCCTGATTGCAGGCGGCAGCTTGGAGCTGTCAACATCCAGAGCGGCTGCCTCTGGGGGCGCGGCAGATCGCTTCTCCCGGAGGAGCTGTGGGAACCATGCCGGGCAGTCACTCCCGTCACCCTCACTGACTTGTCACACTGCCTTCCATGTCCCGCCTGTGGCCCCTCTCTCCAGGCCAGGATGCGGGGACTGAGGCCCCGGCAGTGACGTTGGCAATGGGGCTGGAGGTGGTCCCCAGTCAGGCCCTCCCCCTCGGAGCCCAGAGGGTCCCTGCAGGCCTGGACTCTGGGCCCCACTCCCACCCCGGCTATTCCACTCACTGGCCAGGAGGCTCCCGCCTCTGGTTTCAGTTCTCCCAAACGTGGGATGGGGACGAGGGTCAGCTCCCAAGGGGTCCTTAGGCCCAGAGCAGAGCCAGTGCCCTGCCTAAGAAGGCAGAGTGCCCCCCAGCACCCCACAGCCCCCGCTACCAATCTCCCCTACCCTCCTGCCAAATGACCCGCCGTCCCTCAAGATCCCTCCTGACAATTGCATAGAGGAGGGCTTGGTTGGCCCCATTCCTCAGATGAGGGAACTGAGGCCACATGTGTCCAAGCCGATGGCTCACCTTTCGCTGTCGCTTTTGGCCCCGAGGGCAGTCAACAGTCAGGATGCGGTACCGCCACAGCCTGAAGAAGGAGCCGGTGCAGTTCCTCTCCTCCTGCGAGGCCGCGAACACAGGGGCTGGAAGTATCCCACTGACCCCGCCTGCCCCGCAACCCAAGCGGCGCATCCCCCATCCTCCCAAAGCCAGGGCTGCAGGCCAAGGACACCCAGGGCCAGGGAAAGGCTCCCTGTACTCGCCAGGCACTCAGCGGGGACAGACGTCTTTACGTTAGCCTGCCCGCAGGAAGCCCTGTCTGTTTGAAGTGGGTGCGTGCACCAAAACCACACGGAAGAGGACCTACCCCCACAGCTGGTTACTGTCCCTGGGCAGCGGGGCCGCGGGTGATTTTTGCCTTATCTCATTTTGCTTCTCCAGGATCTGTAAATTTGCTACCGTAAAATGTTATTTTCCTGATTTTATCAAAGCAGTTATCTTACGTGCATTATGGTCCTGCTTTGTTCTTTTTCTATTTAGTCATCTTTGGCACGTATTGCTTTTATAATAAGGATTGAGAATACTTTACAGTAAGAGAAAGCAATCAGGGGAAAACAGATTTTCAAAAGGGCTTCTACAGTGAAATCTCTCGTGGCTGGATGAGGAGGGCGGGGGCAAATGCACAGCCCCCTGAGGTGGAAAGAGCAGAGGCCCCCCTGCCTCCGGGCTGGGAGACTCACCCCACCGTCCCTGAAGGCACACTCCTGGGGCTGCCTCCGCTCTCCGACGAGGCACACCGTCTCTTTGACCCTGAAGGCGAGCAGCATCGTGGTGGTGGTGTTCTGCAGAAGTGAGAGAAAACTGATCATCTCCCTTTTACAGAGGAGGGGGCAAAAGCACAGAGAGGTCGCAGTGACAGGCTAGAAGGGGATGAGCTGAGGTCTGCACGTTCCACCAAACCCGGCAGCCTCTTACGTGGCCTCAGCAGAGATTCCAAGTGTGCAGAGCTTTTGGAAACTAGCAAAAGGCTACCAGTTTTTCGGACCAGTTCTGCATGTCCCTGCAACCCCGGGGCCTTGAGGGCAGGCTAGATTCCCAGACTCCACATTTCATGCCTGAGAGAAAACCCCAAATCTCCCAGGGAGCCAGCTGTCAGGCCTGAGACTACAATCTTTGCCTACCTTCCACTGGGAGAAACATTATAACAACAACAGGTAAAGTTAACCAAATGCTTTGGGCTTGTGCCAGGTATTCTCTCCGCCTGCTCCCCTTGCAGGCTGCTGTGGGCAGGTGTCCGCAGCTTCCCTGGCCTGGGGCCGGGGACACTCACCGAGCCAGGCCGCGGGGTGGCTTCCAGCAAGCGGAAAAGGGGCTGTCCTGGTCGCCCATAGTTGAAGAACTGCAAGGCCTGGGTGACAATCGCCTCATAGTTCTGAGGGTGTTGGGCCACACAGGCCATTACTGCCAAGCCCACTGTCAGCAGAAGTGCCCTCCGGACCCCTGCCATTGTCCCTTCTCTGATCCACTGCCACTTGCTCACCCTTTTAGGTGCTGCCTGGGTTGCCTTGCCCAAGGGCTTCTGGCGACATACAGGGCTGGTGCCTTCCTGAAAGGGGCCTCTCCTTTCACTTCCTTTGCCAGACATACACTGTTGGCCAATGTTCGGAAATACCATTGGCTAAAAAGCAAATAGGTTTGGGCAACAGGTCAGGGCCTAGGAGTGAGGTTAGAGCCCTGAGCTGGGGGCAGGGGACCTGCGTGATGTTGGGCAAGTCCCTTCACTCTGGGCCTCACTGTCCCCACCTATACCACAAGGAGGCTGCCTCCAGCTCTGACAGTCCTGCCTCAATGGAATGATCCCATAGACCCTGGTTCAAATCCCACCTCTGCCACTTCCCCACTGGTTCTCAGTCAATCTTCCTGGGGTGGGATTCAGTGTCCTCACCTGTAAAGCAGAGAGAACAACTCTGACATTGTAATGGAGGGGAGGATTCAAGCTAATATGTGGGCGGACGACCTGGGCCAGCGTGTGAGGCAGAGGAAGCCTCAGGTGCGGTGGCTTTTAGGGCAGCGAGGCTCAGGATGCAGCTGAGGCGTTAGCAAGCACGGAGCTCCTACCCCTCCGGGCTCTGAGCAGGTGGCAGCCATCAACCCAGTTTTGCAGATGAGGACACTTACGCACTAGGAGGTTGAGAACTGGGCCCAGGCACATAGCTGGCAAGTGGAGGGACTGGGAAGGGCTGGGCGGGGCTGGGCCACCAGCCAAGGGTAGCGGCAAACCCCACGCGGCTCTGCCTCAGTGGGGGCTGCAGGTCTGGTCCCTGAGTGCAGGGGCTGAGGAGCGGAGCTGCAGAGGGCAAGGGCAGGGTTCCTGGCATCCAGCCCGGGGTTTCTCCAAGACACACCCTGCATGTGACTTGACCTTGGGGCCTGCAGTTGGGGCAGGGGTGGGTGGGGCTCTGGAGGACACAGGGAGCAGGAAGTGGACATGACTCCACCTGCGAGAGGCCACAGCTCCCTTCAGGTGGGCAGTTCCACACCACCGTGTTTCACTCAGGCAGCTGGGACCTGTGGCTCCTTTGGGACACATGAGGCAAAAAGCTTTCACAAGGTGTGGGAGGACTGTGAAGACAGCAGCCTTGTGGGCCCTTGGGCAAGCCTCTTGCTCTAATGGAATGGTCAGGAGCGGGGCAGGGAGGCCGGGACTCTTAGCTCTTGCCCAAGTGAGGCAGAGGAAGTTGCGGTGGCCCCATTGGTCCCATGGAGACACACACCTAATGTCCCAGAACCAGCAGTGTGACACAAGTTGCCCCACTACCCACCGACACAGACACGTCAGCTAGGAAGGCCCTGGCATCTGAGAGCCCCACATGTGACCTCAGCCCTCACCTAGCAGGTTTGGCGCCCCCTGAGCGGGGGCCGGGGGTCTCAGAGTTCTGCCATGTTTGGCTGTACTTTTCTGCTCACTGGCTGGAGCCAGGCCATCCAGAAGGGTGTACTTGGGCAATCCTGGGAGGCCCTCCCTCTCAGCAGCCTGAACTACGGGGCTGGTCCGAGGCAGGGGAGAGAGAAATCCTCCGTTGCCTCCTTTCCGTTCACAGACACGGGTACAGGAGTGCCCCTCGCCCAAGAATTAAACCTGGTCCTAAACAACAACATAATTTCGAATCTTCTAGGCTTTTGTGCAGCCAATGGCCCCGCAGGCTGTGACTTTGGCGGCCTCTGCTGGCCAAGGGACGTCTGAGAGCTGGGAAGGGGTTCTGGTTTGCAGAAGGGCCTCGGAGGCGGCTGGCCTTCCTGCACATTTGCAAACCTGTCATGCTGGAGTCTTTTCTAGGGAGAAAGTAACTGATGCTCCTGGGGTTCTTGGAGGGTCTGGGCCGCTCTGGAGGCAAGAGGAGCACTGTATCACTCAGCAGCTTCTTCTTTGCTGCTCCCATGGGAGCCTCTCTCTGGGCCAAAGGGAGGGGGGCTGCCTCCGAGTCCCCTCCCCAAACCCCAAGTGCCCGGTGATGGCTGGGAGGGAAGGGGGAAGGGACGCATTGGGGACCCTTCAGCTTTGGCTACCAGGGAGACCAGAAGAGTTTCCTCCCCTCCCTCCCTCTTTCCTCCCCTCTTTCCTTTTCTTCCTTCCCCTACATGGTGTTTTGGGCAGCCCCTGTCCCTGTTTCCCCACCTGTCATGCAATGATTCTGGGTTGTCACCCAAGGAAGGTGGCAGCAGAGGAGGCTCCAAGGTTCCTGCCTGGGTGGCTATGAATGTTCGTCCTAGACACACCTCCTGGCACTGTGGCGGGGGGCGGGGTGTCTTTCCAGGGTATGCAGACACCCAGCAGTGGAATTGTGGCCATCAGCGGGGCACAAGGGACATGTAGTGTCAGCTGATAATACCAAACTGTTTTCCAAAGTGGCAGCACTGTTATGGCTCCATCTGCTGCAGGTGAGCGTTCCTGTTGCTCCACATCCTCACCATCAACTGTCTTTGACGGACATTGACTCATTTGTCTGGTGAGAATAAAGTGGACTTTCACTGGGGTTTGGGTTTCCATTTCCCTTGCTTACCGGTGAGATCCGACATCTTTCCCTATGTTTTTGGCTATTCCCATAAGTTCCCTTACAAGATCTGTGCCCATTTTTTTCTTTTTTGTCTTTCTTGAGAGCTTGTTAGAGTTCTTTACATATTCTAGATGGTAACGCTTTGTTGGTTATGTCTCATAAGTATTTTGTCCCAATCTGATCTTGTCTTTCCACTTCCTTTTTAATATCCTGTTTTTCTTTTAACTTGTTTGACATTTCAGACTTAGAAATGTTGCAAAAGTAGTACAAAGAATTCCTTCATTCCCTTTACCAAAATTCCCCAAATGTTAACATTTCACCAGATTTGCATCCTCCTCTCTATTTCTGTATACGTATATACACACATGCATACACAGAGAACATCCCTCCGCCTCCTTGCTGTTCTTCAGGCTGCCAGGCAGCCTTGGCTCAGGGCTTGTGCATTTGCTAACTTCTCTTTCTTGAACATTATTCCCCTTGCTCTGACCCTGGTTTGCTTCTTCACTCCCTTCAGATCTCTGCTTAAATAGTATCTTCTTAGTAAAGCCTTCCATGGTCACCCAACATCCCAGATATAGAATTGCAAATGTCCCCTTCCTCATATTCCCACTCTCCTTTTTCTTCTTCATTGTGCTAAGTCGGTCTCCTCTCACTAACTGTGACCTCGTGAGGGCAGAAATCTTTGCCTGTTCTATTCAGCAACACCCAGAGTGGTGCACAGCGCACAGTCGAATGAATATGTGTTGAAAAAAATGAACTGGGAGGAAGACCCAGTCCCAACCCAGACTCTTCCATTTACTTGCTGGGAGGTTGAGTGGTCCGCTCCCTAGCCCAGTCCTCAGTTTCCACATCGGTAAAATGGGGGAGGGTGTCTGTGTGTTTCTGAGGCCCTTCCAGCTCCACCAAGTGTGACCGGGGAGGTTGTCTTGAGAAAGATGAACTGACCTGGCTGAATGGGTGTTTGCTGCCCCCTTGTGATGGGGCCTAGAGTTCCCTGTACTAGCGAGTCATGCTCCTCCAAACTTCCAACTCTGCCCATCTCTGAGTAAGTATGTGCAGTAGGAGGGCACCCCTCACCCCTGACTCCTTTCTGCTGTCTCACCTCCACTGGCCCGTCCCCGCCCCACTGCCTCAGCATTTGAGGCCTCCTCCTCACAGCGCATCTTGGTTTTTGATGCCTCTCCCACCAATTGCCCTTCATGTCACTGTGTCCTTGTGTTATGAATTGTGTACCTCCACCCCCCAACCCTGCCACCTCTCCTACTGGGTTGGCTGAGAAGTCTGTTACTTTTTTTCCCATAAAAGACACATTTTTCATTTTTGCCAACAGCTTTATTGATTTGGATATTTTGAGTATGTCGGCTGTTTCCCCCTATTGACTTCTAGTGGGTAGAGGCCAGGGGTGCTGCTAAACATCTTCCAATGCCTAACTAAGGCAGTTCCACAGCAAAGGATTATTTGGCCAAAATGTTAATAGTACCAAGAAACTTTGCAAACCACTTTTGACACGTCCGATCAGCCACAGCACCTTATCCACACACTGCACAAATTTTTTGAGTTACACTTCCCTTTTTACCTTTCTTGAAATAATAAAGCACAATACGCCAAAAATGTTGCTTGTTTTCTTCCACCTTCAATATTAAAATGGCTGCACAAAAGTTCACCAATTTTGATAAGCTTTTTTAAAGTGCACACTGATACGACAGTTGTTACAATACAATCTAACAAAATTGTTTCAAATAAAGTTCAAGACAACTAAGCCCTACTGGAGCCATTGCAGGGAAAAAACATAATGGACTTTTTGACCAACTCAATAAATTCCTGTGTAGAAGTCCTAACCCCCAATACCTCAGAGTGTGACTGTATTTGCAGACAGACTCTTTATCCTATTTTTTATTTTAGAGGGAGTCAGAGAGACAGAGACATTGACCTGTTGTTCCATTTATTTATGCATTCATTGGTCGCTTCTTGCATGTGTCCTGGCTAGGGATCGAACCTGTCACTGTGGTGTATCAGGACAACTCTCTAACCAAGAGCTACCTGGCCATGGCAAGACAGACTCTTTAAAGAGGTAATTAAAGGAACAAAAAGTCATGAAGGTGGGTCCTAATCCATAGGACTGGTGTTCTTACAAGAAAAGGTTAGGACACAGACATGCACAGAAGGAAAGCCTGTTGTGAAACAACAGGGAAAAGACATTCATCTACAAATCAAGGAGTCAGGCCTCAAGAAACCAATCTGGTGACACTTTGATCTGACTTGCGGCCCCCAGAATGGTGAGACAACTAACTGATCTGCTGTTTAAAGCACTCAGTCTGTGATACTTTGTTATGGCCTCTCTGGCAAATCAGCATACCCTGGGGCTCAGAGGGTGTATGTCTGCTGTTGTAGTTCGACTCCGGGAGGGCCATGTGGGGCTGCGGTGGTCCCAGTCTATGAAAGACAGTGAGGCTGAAGGAAGGTCAGTTGCTCTAAGCAGCTCAGGAGGCAGGGACCCATCTGCCAGCCTCCTCTGAATCCTGGAGACTGGCCAGAGCCCCATTTTGCACCCGCAGTTCCCTCTCCCCGCACCTGGAA